CGGACGAGAACTGGTGTATTCAACGTGGTATGGCCGTAAGCATACGATACTGTCTTTTTTCTCGACTTTATGATTTTCTTGAATTGAATTAGCTCTCTGTTATGACTCTTATGTACACAATAATCAAGTATTTTTGTGTTTCATATATAAATGATGCAAATCGAACTGGGAGAGTGTGATATATACGTTCTTTGAGTCTGATTGTGGCTTATGATCATCTTTGGATGAACAAACTTTGTTTTTCGGCTATCACACTTTGTGTCATTCCACAACAACACTTCCCCATCGGACCCATCACGTCATCAATCCGAAACCTGCAAAAATATAGGAACTGTTGTGTCTATAATGAGACATGATAACTTAATACACGTCTTTACGATTTCTGATTCTAGGAATGAGTTACTTTGTTAGTTGTTTACTATCATTAAAAATGTGTTTGGTAGGTTTGTCATAAGAATATTTAGAAAAAAAATCTCCATCGTATATTAGATAAGTCTGAAAATAGCACATGAGGATCTATTGGTAAAAAACTATAAAGTATGATGTGAACTTGTAAATCCTGCGTGCCTTGCATATGTGTAAGTAAAAATAAAAAGCTTACGACACTCGGTATTCCCAGGCGGTCACCCATCCAAGTACTAACCGAGCCCGACGTTGCTTAACTTCAGTGATCGGACGAGAACTGGTGTATTCAACGTGGTATGGCCGTAAGCATACGATACTGTCTTTTTGCTCGACTTTATGATTTCCTTGAGTTGAATTAGCTCTCGATGATTACTTTTGTAGAACCAATCATCATGTCTTGTTGGGAATCATATTGACACGGTTATGTTATCATCATCAACGTGTAATGAAACTGTTTACAAATAAAAATCTGCAATTCTTCTTGTGCAAGAGTTTCCTTTTTGATACATATGTCAAAACCTCTAAGTATTGCGAATATTGGTTGATAGTTTAGGAGGACTTATATTAAACAGATCATCTTGATATTTTATTCGTTCACTTTTGAAAGAGGTGAAAATAAGAAATATAGATATGTTTTTCATGGACAAGATATTAACCATACTGAACCTCAGTGGTAATAAAATCAGTGGTAAAGGAGCGGAACATACCGAGAAAGTTCTCGAATGAAACTAACTAATATCCCGACCGTCTGTATGCTTTAGTCAATGCTTGTTGAAACAGATACTAACCAGACTGGAACTCTATCGGAATCAAATCAATTATCAAGGCGCACAACATATCGCGCATAATATAAAACAACGACGAATACAGTTGTAGTTTTCTTTGATGGCATTGACTGCTTCTATACCAGCTCTCCTGATACTGATCATGAAGTTGTAGATGTAGATGCGAATGCTCTTGATGGTATGTCGCTTCTTTGAACTCACATTGATCCTTGTTCGGGAGTGATACTTCAGAAGAATTCCAGTTTTGGTGTTTGTTCAACAATGTTGTCTCTGGATTGTTTTGATTTAGTTCGAAGGAATAATAGTTGTTTGCTTTTCGTTGTCAATCAACACATAATTAGTGAAATTCGAAATAAATATTGCTATCAACAAGTGCTTCTTGACTAAACTTCATTTCAAATACTGAAACAGACTCAGTATTATGTTTCGAATACTTCTCGATTCGATGTAATCAAGTGTAAAGCTTTGAAGAGTACTCATCATGGGTGTTGAAAAGCACATCGATGAACGTTAGTTTCTAAAAAATCAATGTTGCAACTAAATGGATGGACGAATAAGAAAGACTATGAATAAAGATAAGATGCAGCTAATTCGAAATCTGAGCAAGAATCATTTTTGATTTTTTTGCTCATGATCTGATTGACTGAAGAAAACCGTACAAGAAAATATAATTTTTCATTTTTTTTTCAAATCGCTTTCTAAGAAACTAAAGTACTTTGGTGATCCTATTTTCTAAAAAGCCAGTTATTTCTGTAAAGTGGGTTCGTATTTTTATTCATGCTTTCATAACATTTCGAAATAATGTTTTTTATCTTAATGAAAAATTGAAAATAAAAATAAAAATTCAAGTTTAATTTTTATTTTCACTTTGATACACTGTATAAGAAAAAAGCATCATTTCAGAATTTTATGATTACATAAATACAAAGATGAATCCATTTTCCAAAAATGACTTGATTTTTAGAACATAGGATCACCCAAGTATTTTGAACTTTTTTCTTAAAAAGCAGCTTGAAAAAACGTCGATGATCGAAACTATCTTGAATAAAATCTAAAAGAACATTGAACCAAATTATAGAAAATTCATGAAACTCGCCTAAACTCTTCATGAACTATTTATGTTTCTTATCCTAACAGACTTTTGACGTACTCTGTAGCAGGTGACATGAGTTACAAATTATAAAATTACTAAACAAGATTTATGAAGAAGAATTAAAGATAGCAGTTACTATAGACTTTTCGATACAGTCGAACTTTAGATTTTTGTTCGAAGCTGAAATTTTTGATGAAACTTTTCTGATTGATAAAATTATTGTACTATCAATTCATAAATTTACAAAGTTTGTATGAAATAGATAGCTATTGAATGTTATTTATAAAGATTTGATAAGACAGTTAAAAAACAAAAAGTTATCTTTTTTTCGATTAGTTCTTCACATTGTTTTTCTGTTTTACGTATCAATAGCCATTAGTTCATTTTGTTGACAATCAAAAAGATATAAAACAAAGATAACTTATTATTTCTTTCTTTCTTTTCAATTGATAACAATGATTATCAATTAACATTGATCCAAGTTTCATATAAGCGGATTTTCTGAAACATGAATATCAGTAAATACATGACTATAACTCATTAGTTCAATATAATTGAAACAAATGAATAAATAATTTCAATTTGATACAGAATTGAAAATAATCAATACATTCAACAATCATCAGTTACAGTATAAATTTCGATTTTGATTTCAAATAAACATCATTCTAAAACATTAATACAATATATTTTAATTTTCATCCAACTGTCATATTTGTCTCGACACATCCTTCACTTGTTAATACATTTCACATAATATATAATCGTATATAGAAACGTAAAAAAAATCTTCTCATCTTATTTTCAACAAGCAGTTAGTTCTATTCTTAGACAACTCAAAATAAGACTAAATTTTCCCTAATCTTTTAAATAAGCAATTAAAACCTCGTTGTTTCTTTTTTCAAATAATTATGACGAATTTTCAAGACAAAATAGAAAAAAAAAAGACACCTCATAGTGTGACATTCTTAATCGATTTTTCTTTCTTCAAATTGGATAATTACATATAAGAATGATTCGAATATAACAAATTGCTTGCATAATATATATATATGTATAGATAGAATCTATTCTTTAACCAACTTTTTTTTTTCGAGAAAGATATACATCAGCTTTCCTTAGTAAATCAGGTACCTTCTATTGTCAATATTTTTACTTCACAGATGTTCATGTGAAATTCACACCTATATATATATCGACACAAACATATAATAAAAATCTAAATATGATTATAAACTTATTTTCTCATCTTTTAACAAAAATAAAAACAAACCACATGTTCGTCAATACAGATGGTCAATAATTACACCATCTTAATGATACAATGATCTTTAAAATACTATCCACCTGCATATCTAAACATGCTTAAAGGCAATCAAATTCATCTCTACATAGATAAACATACAGATGTATTTGAAAATAAAAATAAAAGAATTCTTTTTCTATTGACTTTTGATTTTCAAATAATAACTATGCAATTGAATTTTCATGCGTGACATAATCATCAAAAAATTTAAAAAAAAAAAAAAAGAAAGAAAATTTTAACGCATCTTCGACAAAATCATCACATTTAAACCTGCTGTGTCAATTGCATTGCAGGAGATTTTTTCTTTTTCTGTATCCAATTATAACTGCAATTCACGCTTTCAATCATTGAATGAAGAGAAAGATCATCATTCGATTACATGAAATAACAATATGTAATCTCTTGTGTTGCTCATTCAATTAGAAATGAATAAGATGATAATTTGAATTTATCCCAAAAGATTTTAACATATATATACATAAAAGATTAGATCATTTATTTTTCTTTGCACTAAGATTAAGATATAGAAGAAAGTTTTCTGTTATCATTAAAATTCGTTCGGCAGGTGTTCCTGTTATATCAATTGAATTTTATGATTTGAAGAAGTTTGTTTGAATGAACCGAAGTCATTCACTAGAGATGAAATTAATGTTCTTCTATAGACAAGTACTTGAATGAAGTAATTTCAATCTAAGTAGAAAAACAGGTGATTACATCATATGTTTTCCAGACAATGTGAAAGTTGTTTCTCAATCTTGAACAAATCGAATATTATGATGATTCCATGAAAATATATTCTCTAATAGAACAATTTTTTAATAGAAAAGATTTGGTTATGTTTCATCCACATTTTTTTTTTATTCAAAAGTATTTTATGAAGCAAAATAAATATAACTTTATTTAAAAGTTTATAACATAGTAATAACAAAAATATTCATGCATTTTTTTTTTGTATCAGTTATTTTATTCATACTACTCGATGTAAGAAGAACTCGGGTTAGCTGAATATCCTTAGTTTTTTTGTGTTGTATCTACGAAAATCTTGAGCTGTTATTAGAAAATTGTCTGCCAAGTGTTATTAGGTAGCTTTTTACAATCACTTCTGTCGGATAGCCCGTCGCCGACTATATTAAAATATTCATCTAATGACAAACAATTTTTTTTCATATTGTAAAAGCTTGTTTATATTGCTGTCAAATTATTTCATCATCGTCATGTCGCATACATAATTTTTTTTTTGAATTCATCAATCACATTACATGTAAGTTTGGATTGCAGATGACAATATTTGCATTAAGTCGGTGGTACTAGTTTCCCAATCTGAGTATATATATGGAAATAGAGAAGCTCAAAACTTAAATCCACACCAGCTAATCGAAAATTTTTTTTCTGGTTTTTCTACTAATGCTAACACTTGTTTTAAAAATTTCGTTCTCTTCAAGTCAAGATTTTTCCAGTAAATTATGTTGATAAAATGGAAAGATATCGGTAGAAAAACATCTTTTCTTTCTTCTTTTTTTTCTAGCTTATTCGATTAATGAGGTTTACGTCACATTTGAATGAACATTGATCAAATCAAAGAGATAATTTTCATTCAATCATCATGATGTAAAATATTATCCTCTAATAACACATTTATTTTCCTATATCTTTGAACTTGTATTTTAAACCTTAAGGAAAAATTTTCGGATAAAGATGAAGAAAACAAAAAGACGTTGTTACTTTGATAAGATATTCTTCCTTCTCTCATATCAAAATATTTAAAAGAAACAAGTAGCTTGTTCATTTGATCAATCAAACGAACTCACAGTGTGAATTTCAAAAAGACAAAAAGAACTTTTATCGATAAGATATAAATCGAATTCTTGGAAATTAGCCAGAATATCATTTTAACATCCCTATTGGTTGCATGTTAGATTCATGCAATAATATATATATAGAGAGAGAAAAAAACAAAATAGAAAACGAGAGAGAAAAACATACATGCATTAGATATTCGTCGTTCGAAAAAAAGAGGAAAAAATATATAGAGAAAACGACGACAAATATAGACGAAGTGGTGTGTGTGTATATGTTCGTACAATTCTTAGTGTCTCGACAATAGTGCCTTGATATTCACTACCATCATGTATGTTCATTCAACAAATCAACATTCATCTTGTTGTATTCATAATATGATTACATCAATTGTTATTGATAAATCATCATTATCTGTAAGTATTAAAAATCTTTCGGAAAAGCAAAATACTAAAAAAAACTCTTTGTTTTTTTCTTTGTTTTGATAGAATATTTCATCAACAAAAATTTATTCAAAAGTTGTTGGTGGTCCTGTTTTACATACAAATTCACAACCTATAACAACACATACAACAACAGATAATACTAATAAAACAACATCACAACGTTATAAAACTGAATTATGTCGTTCATATCATGAAACAGGTTTATGCAAATATGGTGAAAAATGTCAATTTGCTCATGGTTATCATGAAATACGTTCGTTAAATCGTCATCCAAAATATAAAACAGTACTTTGTCGTACATATCACTGTACTGGCTATTGTAAGAAATTTAAAAGATATTCTCACATAAAAATTTAATCATAATTTTTTTTTTTCGAACATAGGTCCTTATGGTCCACGATGTCATTTTTTACATGACGAATATCCAGATACGTTACCATGTAATTCTATACCATCATCATCATCATCAATTTCACCATCATCATCATTCGGTAGTGATATTCGTTCATCAGTATCATCATCACGTTCAATTTCACCAATGGATTCTCCAATAATAAGCTCTGATGATTATTTATTTCTTCCTTCGTTTTTATTAAACAAGTAAGAATTAAAAAAAAGAAAACCTTCCAACATATTGATGTATAACGTGCATAAAAATGAACTTATTTTTCTATTTATATATACATATATATATACATATATCTATAATTACGTTTGTTGTGTATGTATAGCTCATATGTGATTTGTTTCTTGTTATTAATTATTATTATTATTATTTTTTCTTTCTTGATTTGCCTTCGAAACTAAAATATCCGTATAACACATACATATTATCTAAATAGAAATGCGCATTGTATGTGCAAGATAAAATGGACTTTTTCTTTTATATATATATTTTTTTTTTTCTTCTTTTGTTTTTGTTATGTTTCACATACATTGCTGTATTGTTTGATGATTTGAAAATTTCTTTATTTAAAAAGAAAAATAAAATACATTTAAAAATTCCTTGAAATGCATCATTAGATTAATATATGATTAAAGAATCTATTTTTTTTTATTCTATGAATTGCATGTCATGTCAATGAAGTGGAAACAAAAATGACTGTTTTACATAATAATGATCGATGAATGAAAACTAATGATATTCTTATTTGATTAGACCAAACAATTCAAACAATTTGAATATGACTTGCCGAAGGAAAAGATTAGAATATTTGAAATGTATATATATATACAAATGTGATATAATCCATTCATATACATATAAATAAAAATAGTTTTGATATTTTATATGATTAATAATTAAAAGAAAAGAAACTTCATCTGCATAAACTAAACTGATATTTTTTTTTGGTATTTGTAAAATACTTTAATTCTATTACATATCTTTGAAGCATTTGGTTTTTGTTTGAGATCTATACGAACCGCAGAAGGATCAATTAGGGTTAATATATATTTTTACAATTTGAATAACAACTATTTTTGAATTCATCTAGATTTTGTTCGTTTTTTTATTATTATTAAAGATGATGATCTGATATTACATATTAATGTGTTTGATTTGCCTTCGGAAAGAAAAAGATTCTACTTTTTGGATAGAATGTTATATTCATTGATGCGTTAAGTTGTTTGTAATTTAAACTTGTCAAGTATCATTCTTATGCATCAAACAAATACAAATGTTTTTTGATTGAAACCGTATGTTGATAGTAGTCTTTCGACCATAAATAGTCTATATACAGTAGCTTGTATGTGTGTTGTTTCACAACTGTCTGTTTTGTTGTCTTTTCTATCTATCATCATCTCGAGTTTCCTAACATAACAATACACAGGAGAGGATATATGATGCACACTTGAAGATGAAGAAGAAAAAAGCTTATTCAAGTGTGTGAAAAAGAAGAAGCATCACATCTTAATGTGTATATACACTTGTTGAATCTCTTTGCTCTATTTGTTGGACAAATGATGTTGTCAATAGAAGAACACAAAACAAAATAAGCTATTTGTATATGAACTTTCTTTTCTTTTGTTTTTTTTCTCATCGCTACGCATCATGAACGTCTCATCTTTTTGCCACTTGTTTTGCACCATGCAATGCATCGTGCTGTGAAGGAAATATTTTTTGGCATTCTGTCACGCAGCAGTAAAGTAGATCAAATCAGAGATGTGTTTGTATTAAACGTAAGATGAATTGTTTTTTTCGTTCTTTTTCTTCCTGCTGTTTTTCGGACATTAATTAAATGAACATTTCTTCATATTTGAAAGCAAGATTAGCTTGAAGTAGAGATATACGTAAGAATCGTTTGTACAATCTATTATACATGATGTGTTTGATGTTTGAAAAAGAAAAACAACGGCTAATAAAAAAAAAATCAAGAATGTATCAATATCTTTCGAGATTTTTCTTGTTGTTTTATTTGATTTTCTTCACACCTATCTTTCCGATTGATACATATATATATATATATATGAAATAATCGAGATAACATTTAATTGTTTCAAATATTTATTGGGCCATGTAATTCTTCAAAATAGTTCGTTATATATTTTTCATTAAGATTATTAATATTTTTGATATGTTGCATATAGGATATAGATTTTAAGCGACCATAAAATTCATGTACAAATAAAATTTGTAATGGATTATGAATACTTGTTGGTCGTATTTTTCTTACATTTGAAATAGATTGACATACTCGACAATAATTTTCAAGTAAGAAAGGATAATGACAAAAACGTTCAATAAATTTTTGTTCTTTATTTTTTTGTTCATGTTCATTCATAATATGTTCATAAAGAAGTTCAAAACAGACAATAGTCATACCAATTCTTTCTATTCCATCCACATAATTAATAAATAAATGATTATAATTAAAATGATTAAAACTTATTATAATACTATACAAAAATTGCATATAATTACTAATTGATTTTGGTATACAATGATCATCTATTGGATATATAATATGTTCAATATTTGCACGTTTCAAATGCATTGAATATAGATCGATATGAAAATTTTTATTATTTGCTGTATTCATACATGATAATTTATTTGTTTCATTTAATGTTAATACTGTATCAATATTAATTTGATTTAAACTATCTATAAGATTATTTATATCATAATTTATATATTGATTAGATAATTTTGATACAAATAAAAAAAATTCATTTTCATTTGATTTTAATATAAATTTATCAAATTGATATGTATCATTAGGTTTTGATAATTGATTATTTTGTTCTTCGATGGATATCATATGACGATAACGACATATGCATAATAAATTATAGAAAAATGGTATAATAATAATTAAAATTATTAAAAACAATAAAATAGTTATTAATAAATGAAAAATAAACATAAAATAAAGTATTATTGATGACACCAAAAATAAATATGATATTATTGTTAATGTTAAACATGATGATAACAGTATAATTAATGATATAAATGGTATATATGATAAACGAAAACGACGTTCAATCCATATTAATGAAAATAAAAATACAAATATACTATTCACTGGTGGTAATATTATTAGAAATTGAAAATGTTGTTGTGGATGATTATAACCAATACTAACTGCTAGTATTGTTAAAAAAATTGAAAAGATTGAAAAGATAAATGCAAATATAATACTTGGGGACCGAATGAGTAACATTGATGTACTTTTTATTGATCTAAGCAACAAATAAAAAAGACAATTCTATCTTATGACATATATTATAAGTCATAAAAAATATGATAGATAAAAAACTATAGCCTATGAGGAATCTATTATATATTGATGCTTATTAATAGATATGTCATCATAACCCATCAGAAAAACATTCCTCCCACAGTTCAATGATCTTATTGTTCGCTCTATAAACTTCGACATTTATTCCTAAATAGATTTTTTTAACTAAACTATACGGTCTGTTTATATTGTTCAATGAATTTAACATTAATGAAAATTTTTCTATTATATTATAACACAAGCTCTATTAAGGAAAACTTGTGTACATTTACATGATAAATTTTCTATCTTTCGAAAAAAATCAAGTCATTTTTCAAGTACAATACTATGCATGATTTGATTTTTGTTTTTTTTAAATTAATACGAAAACTGAACATTACAACAAATACTCAAATAATGAAGAACACTACAATCTATTTGATTTATATATATATATGGCAAAAACAACGACATGTTGGTTCATGATTTTTCTATAAAATCACTTTATCCATGATTAATCATTATCATCAACTTCAGATTTAACAGCTAATTGATTATGCATAGGAGCAGAACAGTGCAGAAAATGCGGATGTCACGTTTTTTTTTCTAGTAGAGTTTTGAGAATAAAGAGATTATGAATGAAAAGGAAAAAAAAAAGATCAATTGAGATTAATAATCCACGCGAAATAAACTTCTACGATCAAAGAATAATAGGATATACTGTCACTCTCTTGAAAATAGTTTCAAAGTAAAAGATGACAGTGTCATTCAATTTCATTCATTACATTAGCCAGCTTTCGGAACGGATACATTAACAAGAATGATTACAAAACATTTAATATTAATGAAGCCAATGGAAGTTGGTGATGTATCCAGGTTTAGCATTACATTAACTATTTTACAATACGACTTTTAGTAAAAAATACACTTACATAGTTCGATTGAAACTTACTATCTAAAAATAAATATGATATTATTCATACAACTAAATTATTTTAATTAAAAACTCACATTTCTTATTTGCCTCAATATGACAATAATGACCGATTATATAATTTGGTAGTCAATTTTTATGAATCGATATCGATTAGAACCTAGTAGTATTCTTTAGTATCATCTACCCTATTGATTCTATGCATTATGAAGCTCTCGTTTTTCTCTAATGCATTATAACGAAACAAAAAAATCTATATTTTTGTATGTAATTGAGTATGTTTTCTTGTTATTTCCTCCTTCATTCATCAACACTTACCAAGGAAATACAATTTGCTTATTGGCCTAGAAACGATAGAGAATTTCTATAGACATATGCTTGTGCAATTATGCAATTAAATGACTTGAGAATAATTGATTGAAATATATTTTGTCACTGAGATTTTTTGTCAAGTGAATATCTAATGTAATTGACTTTGTTGAAATTTAACTCGAAATTTTGGATACAAAAACTAAAAAGACGACTATTATTGATAACGGATAATAAAAGGTTTATATGCGAGTACAATAATTACTTGGCAAAAATAACGATAACTTAGGGCTATTTTGACATAACTTATCGAGTAGTTCTTTTTATTTATTATAGAAGAATCTACTTAAGTTGTTGTTGAGTGAAGTAACATGTCGTTTTAAGAAGAATAGGATTAGCTAGTAAACAAATTTGCGTTCTGTGTTTTAGCTAGAAGATTTGATTAGAACCTGACTATTCTCATTCGAATATATTCATATGATAAACAAAGTTGACAGAAATTAAACGACAATGTCATCCAAATGAATGATCAAAACTAGACCACTTGATATTTAACACTTTTATTTATCTTGTTTTTAATTATTTTGCTGTATATTAAAACATAACATTTGAATACTTACATTGAATCAATATTAT